AGAAGCATTACCAAGAGAATTAATGAAAAAGCTTTAACGTCAATGAATATACCATTGTTGCCTTAAAAAATTCATCAATTATAATAGCAACAGAAAAATTACGCATAATATTAGAAAAGTCAAATAAAATTTTAACATTACTGCGCCTTTTTACACTATCCTAAATTTATGACGCAGTTATGATAGACATTTAACGTGGGGAGAATCATTTGACTATAAGTATATTTATAATAAGAGATGAATTTTAATGTAAAAGAGATGAATTTTAACAGTAAAAGGAGATGGGTTTTAAGGTGGGGAGATGGGTTTGGCGTGATCAATATATTAGTTTTATTCGATTTGGGGTTCATTTTATTATGTGCGTCATGTGATTGACACGTAATCGTCATTAATAATCACGATCAGTGTTTGCATTTGGACTATGTTCAATAAAAATTTTATTTGGATGGACATATAAAATTTTATATGTCCAAATTTGTCCAAATAAAATTTTATATGTCCAAATCAAACACTGATCACGATAATTCAATAGTAATTCGGGGTTTTTAATTTAGGCCCAATTCCAAAAAGGCGCAGTAATGAATAGCAACTTACGATTTTATAATGTTTAGCAATCTGATTCTTTTCTTTAACTTTCCATTTCCAGACTTAGTGTGCCTTTTCATAATTTTTTAAAAATTCGTATTTGGGGTGAAATTTTGTTCACATTCAGGGCATTGTCTTAGCTTTGATTCTGGAGACTCGATCGATTCCTATAATCAAAAAAAAAAACAAAATTATAAATGAAGTAGATACCATAAGCCGTAATACTGTATTTATACCTGATAAATGGCGTCTTTGATACATTTAATATCTAATACAAATTCTGGTAAAATTCCAAGATCGTTTACTGCAGGGTATAAGGTGCAATAGGTAAATGGGGTGGAAGGGTGGACTTTCATAATTTACACCAACATGCATTTTATAATCTCCAAAGCCCAAGAAGTAGTTAAAACCCTAACTGGCAATGATAAAGAATAGGGATTGTTGACTTCTCCAATGCACATGCAATCACATGCATATCTATTATTTCTATCATATAAGTTACGATTGGGGTTATCCTTGAATAACTATGTCTCGTGAAAGACCCCGTTGAAAGAAATTAGTTTTTACTTCACAAAATTTACAGAAAGCGACAAACTTGATCGACGTCACCTCGTCAAAAGTGTAACCACTGCGAAGAGGGTTGCAAGTTTCTTATTGTTTCGCCATATACCGTCCAACCAGGTTGCTCTGTTTACGGAACCAAATCCTCCTTTACCTACTTCAACAACAGATAATCCATCAACTGGAATCCATTCAATCACATCTTAATAATTCCAGGTTCTAAGTTGGAACTATTTCATGCAATCGTCAATATCCTTATTTCCACTTGTCCATCTTGTTGCTTTATCAGGACACATGATAGACACCATGCAGGTTGAGTGTTACGTATCTTCATTACAATGTGCACATTTCCCAGATTTTTGAGCAGCGCAATAAGTGGCGTCGTCGTGATAAGGGTGCTTTTTAAAACCATTCCCACCACTTATTTTTATTATTTATTTATTTATTATTATTATTTTTTTCCTTCCACGTCAATTCCGTAATAATAACACCAGGCTATTTTCTAAATTCCCATTGAATTTCTGCATCAGATAATATGTAAACGCTTTATGCTTATTGATTTTGTGATTTTGACTCCAATTCCTAAATAATAACAATATCCAACTTATAGATCGAAAGTACGAGCCAATGCTATGGTGCGGCGCATTCTACTTTCAAGAAAAATTCTCTTTTTTTTTTTTTTTTTTTGCGAGTTCGGGCCCACGCTACGGTATGGCGCATTCAACTCGCTACTCATGATAATGAACAGGGTATAAGGTGCCATAGGTGCCATAGGTGAGTGGGGTGAACGGGTGGGTTTTCATCATTACGTCAACATGCATTTATAATCTCTAATTCATCCCACCGCAATTTCCATCATATAAGCAACAATCGGGGTGATCCTCGCGATAATCCTAGCGTGAACGTCAACGCATCGGGTTAAAATTATTCACGTCTGAAGATTTTCAATAATATGCGAATGCTTTGTTTTCATCCTTTTCAACTCTTATCCCATGTTCGTAACAATAATCGAGCAAATAATTTCCATTTGGTTCGTTTGTATCTGCCAATTTTTAGCAGCTGTCGAAATTCAGTTGATTGAAAGCATCGTTTGCCATCTGGATTTCAAACATGTTTGGATATTACAATTTACTGATACTGGTTTTTTTTCAATATATCGAGATTGTGTATATTTGTAGGTTCTTCTTTCTTCCTTGAAGAATACAATTTCATTGTAAAGTATTGAAATGGATGCTTTCTTAAACAATTGAGTTTAAAATCAGACTCATAAAGTTCTTTCGTTAGTATATTGCAAAACCATATCAGAATATTTATAATCGTCTTTTGTGACTCCATAGAACGGAATAACACGCTTGGATGGTAACGAACTCTTCATAATCGTTTAGACACACTAATCAACTTTAATGGCTTTTTCAACTATACTTGCTTCGTATTCCTTTATATTGGAGCACAGGCTATGCCTAGCACGATGGAGCAAGATTATAATCAGGCATCGAAGAGAACCAGTGACAAGACAAGCGAAGTAAGAAAGCACTGAGATTTCATCATTTACTCTCACATGTACTGTATCTTTATAATCTCTGCCACACATGCATAATCTCTATCACATGCATATCTATAATCTCCATTGCATAAAATCATATGCTATTACCTTGTTCATATAAGCCTCAATTTCATATAAGCAGTTATCCTCGCGACAATAACCCTAGCGTGACTATCGTCAGCACATAGGGCTAGTTCTTGTTTTTTTGTATGCCAAATGTTTTTATTCCTTGGGTCAATTATCCATCCCAATTTTACGGAAGTTCCTTCTGCAAAGCTAAATTTTGAATTTAATGAATCAAAATCAGAATCGTTTGCGATCACTCCAACAATGAAAATTGGTGTTATGGTTCTTCACGAAATGACCAACGTTGTTGTTCAGTCAAATTTATATTTCTGGGTATAAAGGCTACATCTGGTGCTCTTATTGTTTTTCCCCTGCCATCAAAGTTGAAACCTCCTTGCGATGTAGTGATAGCGCCATTTTTGTATGTTTGTTCATTCCAACTGTCAAGTAGAGCAGCAATTTTGCAACGACAACTTCTGCACAATGGTTTGTGACATAGGAATTAATTTGCCAAATTTACAAATTCAAAAAGATCAATGGGTTATCTTTAATTTCCAAAGGAGCACATGTCTTTAGCTTTTCCCTATAAAAAATGTTGATCCGTGTTTATTATTCCATGTTTTTTCCATGAATGTTCATTTTCATTGAATTTATAACCTTAAATCATGGAAATTTTCATCTCCAAACTAGGGATAGGAACGGCTACGGCTACAGCTGGCTATAGCCGGCTATAGCCATAGCCGATATTAGCCGAGCCGAGCGGCTTAGCCAGCCGGCTAAAATTATAGCCGATGCCAGATTTTTAATGTCCTGGTTGACAAAATAATAATCACAGCATAATTCAGTAATAAATCATATCGGCAGGTCTGCATCATCTGATAAATAGAGGAACCGATCGTTCATAATTCTGGTCAAATTTGCAGATCATTTAGCCAGATCTATAACAAAACTATTTTAAATCTGGTAAAATGATCTGCAATTTTAACTATAAAGATTTTTTTTAAATTTTGGCCGATGTGAAGATCACGTGATGATCGACAAAAATTGGTGTAACATAACAAATTCAAACCAAACAAAAAAAAAAATCAAGAAATCGCCCTTTGCTGAGCCAAATCAGCATCAGCCGCGACAATTATTAAACCAATATACAATTGGTTTAGGTATTTGATGAAACAATTAATTAAAGAATTTATCGGCTATAGCCGGCTATTTGAAGGATGGACTAGCTGCGTAGCAGCGAAGTCTATCTGTAATTGGAACGAAACCTTGGAGGAATCGAAAGGATACTGTTATGTGGCCGTATCGGCCCAAGTTGGCTTTATTTGTAGATCATTATATATACATTTCTGCAGTATTGCATCATACACGTGATTTTTACTATAAATATTTGTTCTTTTCTTACCCATCATTCTAGTCGTGAAAGCCCAACCATGATTGCCAACCTATTAGCTACTAACCCAACTGATCCTATGCTAAATATCTATTGCTAATCTGTATACTGAATATATTTAATGTTCACTTATGCATGTCATTTAACTTATCATTTAGTATTATTATATATATATATATATATTTTTTTTTTTTTTTTGGGCAGGAGGTTGTGGGTACAGTATCTTTTGGATTCCTCCAAGGTTTCGTTCCAATTACAGATAGACTTTGCTGCTACGCAGCTTGTCCATCCTTCAATTAGAACTCTTTCTAGGAGTCATCTGTTGGATACTGTTATTTTATAGTTCTTTGTTTGTGTTTCCTCCACCTGATAATAAAGTAATAGCGATCTGAGACGGAATTGTCTCCTTTGGCTTGAAATAGTGCCTTTTGAATGTTGATGATCTTGTCCATACAGCTGATTTCATAATTAGCTTCACACTTACACCTTTTTCCCATGCTGTTGTGGCTGCAGTGCTTCTTGTCGAATGTGGTTTGTATATACTGATATCGATATTGGCTTCTTTTAACGTTTCCTTTATCCAATTACCCAACATCTCTTCCTTAGCGGATGTATGAAGTGCTTTCGATATTAAAAATAATTTTTGTTTTTCAGAAGACTCTGATTTGATCTCCTTTGTTCTTCTTAACAATTCAGCCGTTAAGAATACAGGGCATATCTCTTTATCCTCTTTAAACGCTGGGATCACACCCGATCTTTTGAGATCTGACCCTTATGGTTTTGTCGCCGTGAATAATATCGACTCTGGCCATTCTGACTCTCCTTCAAATTGGATCGATTGTCTGTAGATTCTAACTAAGTCAGATCTTGGTCTCCACATAGTACAATTGCTAAAATCATTAATGTTCTCTTGTTTAACTCTCTTAAGGTAATTGACTTTGCTTCGCTTACAGCTTTCATTGAATTTATCACATCCATTATTTCCCATCGTGGAAGTTGTTTATCTCTTGGAGTATCATCTAAATCCTGTTTTGCTTTAAAAATTCGTTTGATTTCCTCACACTCTGACATTTTTAGGTCTTTTCTTGTTGATGATATTGCTGTGCGATAGGCCTTCAATGAATTCAGAGTTGCTGTTTGCGCCATGTCCGCTAAAAAATTGATTACTGACACTAGATCACTCTTTCATGGATCCACGTCCCATTCACTGCACCAATCCTCGAATTTTTTCCAGTTGCTGTCATAATTCTTTCTTGTCTTCTGTCTTTGAGATTGCTTCAACAATTCAATAGTCTTTTCCAAAAATCCCTGATCTTCCCAACTCTTGCGGATATTAGCCATGCGACGTGATCCCATCGTGATGGATTTATCATGTTCAACGGTTTCTTCAGGTGAATCATCAGATTCTTTCTGGCTTTCAGTATTACTAGACTTCTGATAGACATTTGTAACGCTTCTGCAAACCAATGCTGAGACAGCCATCTCGGTGTTATTAGAATCAGTTTCCTCAATTGTTGCCTTTTCGTTTCCTGCAGCACTTTTGAGATCAGTCTTCATGGTGGGTTCGCGTATGCCTTCGTTTTGTCCCATCTCTGTCGAAATGCGTCGGTTTTCTCTGCTTCCGGGTCCTGCATCTTGCTGAAGAATCATTTCATTTGATTTGTCAGCCTCGAAGCGAACAAGTCCAGTCTCACCTTGTGAAATATGCGCTGAATCTTCTTGAAAATCACCAGGTTCAGCATCCTATCATTCTGATCCACCATTTGACGACTCAATATATCTGCCTGTGTATTTCGTTTTCCTGGGATATATTCCGCTTGTAGATTGATCTTCTGCTTCATACATGTTTTCCAGATTTCTTGCACTATTGAATTGAGGCGATCTGAACGTGTCCCCCCTTGTTTGTTTATATATGACCAAGCCGTCATATTGTCTGTCCAAACTCTTATTGTTTAATTCTTCCATTTTTTGCTGTTTATTTTGATCAGGAATGCAATTGCTTTCAATTCTCTTACTTTTATCGACTCCTCCAATTCCTGTGTCGTCCAATAACCATGTGTCTTCATATCTTTTGTTGTTATTCCCCATCCCATATTGGATGCATCTGTGAAAGCTTCTTCTGTCGCTGATGGAACCAGTATTGCTCTGCCATTCCAATTCTCCAATGACGTCAACCACCATTCTAGTTCCTTCCTTGTTGACTCTGATAATCGAATTTTCATTTCCCAGGATCCTAATTTCAGTGCTTTGTTCAGATTGAATAATAGGTTTCTGTATTTCAACCTCGCTGGAAGAACTGCTTCTGTTGTTGCATTCAATAGCCTGATTACTGATGCCAGTTTTTTCGATGATATTAGGTTCTTTTTCAACGTAGCCCAGATCTCCTTCTGTACCTTCCTTATTTGTTCTTTCGGCAATCTTATCTCTATCAAATTCGTATCTATCACAAATCCCAAGAACTCCTGTTGTTTGGAAGGTGTCGTACAGCATTTCTTCATATTCATGATAAATCCCAGTTCTTGTAAGTGTTCTTTCACTATTTTGGTATGTCTGATCGATTCTTCTTTCGTCTTGGCTATTATTAAAATGTTATCTATATAACTTATCACCCAAATCTCCTGAGAGTGTAGTGGCGTTAGTGCCGCTGTCATAATTTTTGTGAATACTCTTGGTGCGCATGTTATGCCAAAAGGCATTGCTGTGAATTTGAATGTTCTCTCTTTTCATTTGAAGCCTAACTATTGTGTTGCTCTCGGACTCAGAGGAATATGAAGATATGTGTCCTGAATATCCAATTTTGTCATCCATTCTCCCTTGTGCAAACTCTCCTTCACTGTGCGAATCGTCGTCATCTTGAAATATTTGTAAGGTAATACATTGTTCAGGGCTCTTGCATCTAAAACTGCTCTTTTCTTTCCCTTTTTCTGTTTTATTACAAACAGGCTCGATTTCCATAGGATCGTTTCGCGTTCTTTACTTCTACTATTGCTTTCTTCTGTTTGAATTCCTCTATTGCCTCCATAATCAACTGCTGATCTTCCTTCATCTCTTTTCTTCTGAAAAATGTTTGCTTTGGATAAGATCTTAGATCCAGCTCCAAACTGTCCTTTATTATCTTTAATATCCACTGATCCTTTGTTATATCTTTCTAATTTTTTAAAAATCTTGAGAGCCTTTGCCCTGGTTGCACTTCCTTTATTAGAAACTCTTTCTTCATTCCTCCTGATTTTGGCTAGATCTTGCCGTGTTATAGTTTGGAAGTCCTCTGGTGCCTCTAAATTGCCTAAATCTTTGACTTGCTCTGCCATATAATCCCAAGATGAACCGTCCCCGTGCTCCTCTGCCTCGTCCTGAATTCTGAGTTTGTGCTTCAACCT